ATAACGCGCCTCCCGCTCCTCGCAGGATCCCCTGGTTCCAGTATCCCATCATCTACGACATTCGAGCTCGGCCACGGAAAATCTCCTCCCCCACCGGCTCCAAAGGTGAGAGCGGCCCCGCAGGCCAGAGCACCGGGCCCGGGCGGCGCCTGTGGGGAGGGAGGGGGCAGGAGTCCGGCTGCAGCGCTGGCCCTGCTCATCTTTGTCCTCTTCAGACTTGCAGATGGTGAACATTTCGCTGCGTGTTCTCACGCGTCCCAATGCTGCCGAGCTGCCTAGCATGTACCAGCGCCTAGGCCTGGACTACGAGGAGCGAGTCCTGCCTTCCATCGTTAATGAAGTGCTCAAGAGTGTGGTAGCTAAGTTTAACGCTTCACAGCTCATCACTCAGAGAGCCCAGGTAAACTCTTCTGGAGGACCCTTACCCTCAGATTGCAAAGAAACAACTGAACTGTGGATATGGGGAATGTTATAACAACAAAGGATAAACATGTTAGCTTGGTAGATGGTGTATCCAAATCGAAAGGGCGTGGAACTGCATCTCACAGTTTAATTCTGATGCAGATACGCTAAGGCAGTATCACTAGCTTCTGCGAAGAAAATTGGATTCGTTAGTATATAGAGTGCAAAACTGCACTGTAACGTCATGATGGTGCAGGGAGAGCTGGTTTACATCATAGTCCAGTAGAACTGGCTTTAAAAAAAAAAATATTACCTCCATTTCATGGGTCTTAGAAGAGCTGTCAGAAAAAATTAAGCAGTTTTAAACAATCTGAAAAGTGGATGAGCAGTTAAAAAAGCAGTAAGCTTTCAGTAATGGATGCTACAGAAGGGTAGCAAATATTTATGTTTAGAAAAAGATTAGAGGGTAATCTGTGGGGAGGTTGCAAAATAACATAAATATTTATCTTTAAAAAGCCTATATCTGAAAGTTTATGTTCTGGTAATTTGATTGCCAGGGATTCTGAGAATATCCATCACTTGTCGCAGGTGAGGGAGAGAGAAGTTGTTGGCCTTCTTTTAAAAGGCTTTAGAGGAGATCCTGCATGAGACTGCTAAAGAGGATAAGTTGTCAGATGAAATACAAAGCATCTCTTAACTGGTTTCTGATCCATGACAAAAAAAAAAAAAAAGGCAAAGAGTAGAACTAAGAATCCAGGTCTTGTTGTGAGAACTGATCCATAGCAGGGTTTTGTGCTAGGCCCCGTGGTGTGCACTGAAGGGGTTTGTTAATGATCTTGTATAAAGAGAATGAGTGGAAAAGGAGGATGTGACAGCAAAGAAACAGTATCTGCAAGGGATTTAGGTTTATCAGAAGCAAAGAAGACTCTTAAATATCTCTGAAATTTCTGAACAAACCAAATTGAATTTGCCTTCTTGTTGTATGTTCATTCATCTAGTGTTCATTACTGTGAATTGATACACATTGAAGCAATTGATAATCAGAAGAAAATGAAGTGACTTTACATAGTTATGCACTCACGGTCCACACAGTAAAGGTTTCTGCCATAATTTTAGAATTCTGCTCAGAAACAGCAAATAAAAGTAAAAGCAAATGCTAGACTGGTCAAGCATGTGACTTTGTAGCAATAATTTCTATTTAAGTCAATATTTGGTGCAGGACTTGCCAGCCTGCCTGAAAAGGTACTGGCAAATTAAAGGTAGAATAAATCAAACTATCTACCAACAACACTCATCAAAGGAGACTGAAAAAAGTGGAATAGCCACACTAAATGAGTAGCTACAGTAATTGAGAGATGTGATACATAGCAAAAAAAAATATGTGGTAATTTTTTTCTGGATATGAAATATTTATTGCCAAAACCTGTGTGGGAACTGTGGAACTAGGTGGTAGGATGTGAAAGTAAAAAAAAAAACCTTTCAATAAAGTGTTTTATTTTTGTAATATTAATTGTTTAGTATAGTTAAGTAAAAACTATAAGTAAGCTGTAATATACTTCTGAAAATGTGGTGAGTAGCTGTAGATACACAGCGTTATTTAGGGGCAGCAGATTCAGAGGTGACATTAATGTCCATGGGGTTTGTTTCAGGTAATGTCTCTCTCAGGCCCAGTGTGAATGAACTGTGAAGAGCAGTTGTGCTTTGCTTTTGGAGTGTGCAGGAAGTAAGAAACAGCCTGTGTTTAGTACTCTTTTTGCTATACTTGTGTTTCAGGTGTCTCTGCTCATTAGGCGAGAACTGACAGAGCGAGCCAAGGATTTCAGCCTCATCCTGGATGATGTGGCTATCACAGAGCTTAGTTTCAGTCGTGAATACACAGCAGCTGTGGAGGCTAAGCAAGTGGGTGAGTTCAGTTTATGCCTGAAAAGGGTGGATTGCCTTTGCCTTTTCACTGAATTGTTAAACAAGGAAGTGGAATTGGGCTAGTGGGTCACTGTGTTCACGTTGATAACAGCTGCAGAGTTACAAATCTCAGCCTCCTTAGTAATGGAGCTAAACGGGTTGTTTTACAAGTAGTATCAGAAAACTTCGGGCCATAGCTAATGGGATAGACTGTCGGAGAGACTGAGTTCTCAAGACTGGGGTTCCTCTTCAAGGTGGGACTGTATCGCTTACTATGGGGATTGTGTGTAGAGGGTCTGGATGCTGTTGATTTTATTTAAGAAAAAATAAAGTACACTGAGATACGTTTTGTGCTTATGGCCCCAGAGTGCTATCAGTTCTTTTGGAAGCAGAGCCTCCAGGCATCAGCTCTAGGGTTCTGTTGGAGGGCTCGGAAGATGGGATCTGCTTCCAATGCTTTTGGCCATTCTCTCTGCAGCCCAGCAGGAGGCACAGCGTGCACAGTTTCTGGTGGAGAAGGCTAAGCAGGAGCAGAAGCAGAAGATTGTTCAGGCTGAAGGGGAAGCTACAGCTGCCAAGATGATATCCTGCTTTGGGAGATTTTGTGGGATGTGACTTGTGAGCTTGACAGTCCTGAAAATCTGTCACATTGGGCTTACGCTTAGGAGACTGTTATCAGATGATAGCTTCAAGTAGGTCACTGTCATTTATTCCATTGCCCCTCCCCAGCTGGCTGGAGTGAAGTTTGTCTGAGGTTACAGGTCAGAGCAGGGAAGGCCATGAGCCTTCACTCTCGTCGTAAGATTTAACTTTTATTGGCTGTGTGTGACCATAATCCATAATGTCATTCTTGATTTGGGGAAGTAAAAATATGCCTGCCCACAGGCCCAAGTTACTGGGATAGAGATTGCTTTTTCTCCCCTAAGATGTTTGATGATACGGCTTAGGAAGAATTCCTTGAGGGTAGGCAGCTTCTGTTAGCAGGTTTTTCCTTAATTTTTGCTCCCTTGTACCTTGGTGAAGCTCTCAGCAGGAATCCAGGCTACATCAAACTACGTAAGATCCGAGCTGCTCAAAACATCTCAAAAACGGTGAGCATTGGGGCACGGAATTTCCTTCATCCTTTTGCAGCCCTTCTGCTGTCCTCCCAGCCCAGTGGCCACATGATGAATTTAAGGCGAATGTGACCTGCCCTGTCCTGGTCTTTGTTCCTGCCCAGTGTTCTGCTCAAGTAGAGCTTAAGATTTAGCTTGCAATGATCGGCAGTTAGATGTGAGGCTAGGAGTTCATGCCTTCCATATGACAAGGCCAGATCCACATCAGATTCCATCACCCGCACTCAGCTGCAGCCACCAAAAGCTCCTGGTTTCCTGCAGGCTGAGAAAGGGGGACAGATAAGTATGGGATCAAAGGTCTTTCTGACAGAGACACAGAATGAGCACTTCTTTTAGAAAGTCTGATGGCGCTGCGATGGGAAGTCAGGAAATTAGAGTTGTTTTGGGGAATTGCATTGATTTAACCAAGATCTTAAGTGAATAAAACAAGAATGCTGTATCTGGAGGGGGAGATAGGTTCTTTAGTTAGTGCTGTTTCTCCATGTGCATTTATACTCCTCTGTGCCACCTCTGTAATGGATTTCTTTTTCAGATTGCTGGCTCACAAAACCGTGTGTATCTCACAGCAGACAACTTGGTATTGAACCTGCAGGATGAGGGTTTCACCAGGTAAAAGGGCCAGATGGCTGGATTTATCCGCACCCTACCTGTGAAGCTGGTCCCCTTTCTGGAGTGCTCTCAGGATCTTTTCTCTGAGAGGACTCTGATGCCAGAGGACACAGCCAAGTAGGCAACAGTCTTTCTTACTGTGGAAACTGAGACTTTTGTTTAATCAACTTACTCTTGTTTTTCTTCTGTTTCCCCCTCCCTTGCTGCGTTTCCTGACACACAGAGGAAGGTAAGGCACTGTTTATTTTGATCCTTTTGTTACTACTTGGAACAAGGGTGTTGATGTTTGCCTGGTGCCTGGGATGTTTCTGGCTTGGGCCTTTCTGGCCACAGGAAGTTTATTCCATCTCTACCTCAGTTCCCATTTGTGATGTGAAACTTGAAGCTTTCCTTGCAAGGGGCACACAAACGTCTACATCAAGTAAGAGATACTCAGTAGTTGGAGCTCTGTGTGTCTGTCCCATAAGGAACCTTGCATGGGAAAGGTAGGAGTAACCGAGGAGTGTGCTCTGATCCGTCCCGCATAGACAGGGCATCCTGCGTTTACGGCAAAGAGGGCTGTAAGAAGGCAGTTAGATGATTGTAGGAACTTGTGTTGGTTTGGGGTAATAATGTCTAGGAAAGATGCTTGTATTACTCTCCAAAAGCTTTCTAGTCCATGCTTGAAAACCTCGTTCCCTGCTTTCAGAACTGGCAGGAGTTTGGTGGCTTTGCCTAATCTGTTAAGTGTTTACTGGACAAGGCAGTGCCAGCTGAGCTAGTAGCATGCAGCTAAAAGTTCAAATGTCTTGGAGACGAGAAAGGAAGCCAGAGCTGGTTTCTTTGCTGTGGGATCTCTGATTGTAAGATTCTTTTTCTTTACCTCTGAACAGATTCTGTCTTATTTGTCCAGAAGGCTTTAAGGGGCTTTGAAATAAGTACCTAATAGGAAGGACTTGGAAGTCCAGATCCTTTGGGTGTGACACCCCACACCCCCAAGTCTATAGTGAGAGTCTGGTTCAGCTTTGCTTGTGCTTTCTGGACTAATGACTGGCTTCTGTCTCCCTTTCAGTGATAGTCTCCTACTCAAACAAGGGAAGAAATGAAAGAAACGAAAGCCTCCTAGAGCCAGCAGCGCTGACCAGCAGAAGATAAGAGTGAGGAGTGTTGAACTCCCTCCGCTAGCATTGTTTGCCCTCACGTTGAAGTTAATCCAGTAGCCAGATCTGGTTCCCATGCCCCTGCTCCATCTGTGGTGATCCAGTTACCGGATTGGGCTCTGCCTCTAGGAAGCTGTAATTCCTTCCTCGCCCCACCAGTTAAATTTGGGGACAGGGCAAGAGGGCTTAACGGTATTAACCCATGTGGATGTATTAATTCACCTGTAATCTTCATTAATCTTATGATTTGTGTAGGGTAAAATCAGAATTCTTTTTTGGCCAAGCGAGGGAGTTCTGCTGCCATCAGCACTAGGCTTTTTTTTTTCTGGTAAATTTTGTTTCTCTTTCACTCTTGATCCCAAGAGAACCTGGAACTGAATTAGGAAAATGTCATTCATTAGGTGCCTGTCACTGCTGGAATATCTATTTGTGTCACTGCTCAGTGATTCTTTCAAACATTTGTAAAAATTAAAAACCCCAAAATTTATACTGTGTCTAAGTGTGCTTAGTGCCTGAAAAGGAGGTTGCTTTGCACAGGGAAGGCGGAACAGAGCCTTTATTGGGTTGAAGACAGAATCAGGATGTTGCGAAGAAAGGAGCAAGAGAAATACCCTCCTCTTCACTGAGAGATCACAGGGTCGAGAGAGAATGGGCAAGTGTGGATGTGACCAGCATTTATGTACCCCAGTATCCTCAAAAGCAGATTCCCAGGGGACCTTCCTAACTATTTCCTTGAGCAGCCTAAAGTCTGCTCTCCCAAAATCCAGGGCAGTAGCTCTACTGGCATTTTTTCCTCATACCACCAAAGATTTTAAACTCGACTATTTCAGCATCACGATGGCCAAGACAGCCACCCACGAGACCATCTGTATTTACAACCAACCATCTCTATTTACAAACAACTCCAGCTTAAGCTCTCCAATGAAGAAAAGAGGCCTTTAGGGACCTCTTACTTGGGTGAAGCAGAGCACAAGATGTTTAAAGGAACAGATATAATGTATGGATTCCTGGTTTTACAACTCGCTGTTACTGGAAATCATAGCCATGACTAATACCTGTATGTCTTGACTTGCAACATCAAGGAAGCACCAGTTTTTTTAGATATAATGTATGGATTCCTGGTTTTACAACTCGCTGTTACTGGAAATCATAGCCATGACTAATACCCGTATGTCTTGCAACATCAAGGAAGCACTAGTTTTTTTGAACCAGCTTTGAAAATGCATTCTCAAATAGCCACCCAAAAATAATCTGTATCTAACAGTGCCTTAAGTGTAAAGCAGAGTAGGTGGCTTATTTCAGTGCTGCATTTCTTGATGTACAATCATTAAAGTTTTTGTTCAGTCTATATGCTTTGCCGACAGTGGATATTATGGACACATTAAGCTCTGGTATTTAAGCACAAATGAGGTTCTCAGAGTAACACAAGCTAGCCCCACCAGCTGTCTTTGTCTTCATGCTTTGGGTATAGCTTAAGCTAATGGTTGTGCCTTGCTTTAGGCTGTGGCAGCTGTTTAAGAAGGAGGAGAATTGGATCCTGTCCATTGAAGCTACCCAGAAGTCAAAGCAAAGGTAGGTGTTTCCTTAGAACAAGTCTTTAGCCTGATGGCTTAGAAGAGGGGATCTGGCATCATTCACAGTACATCTTCACCCATCTTTACTTCCCTGCCCGTTGTTTTCCCGACTGTCCCTTTCCTGCTTTTTCCTCTGGTAGCAGCAGAGTTGCAAAGCCAGCCAGTAAATAGATGTGCCTATTGGGTCACCGGCCAAGGGAAGCTGAAGTCTGGCACGTGGAAGGGTCTGCTGAGAAAGTATCATCTACCTTCCAAATGCTTCCAACCAAGTTTCTTGCCCTATCAGATGACAGCAATGACTATCGCTGTGCCTGTGCCATGCAATATTGGCTTGGGGAATGCTATTCTGGGTATGAGCATGGCTGAAATTACTACAGCATCTATAGCATTTGTCCACTCCTCTGTATACTGTCCAACCTTGCATTGGCTCTGTTTATGCATTTGGCACCAGATCAAAGAAGGGAACTTAGCTGAAGTTACCTAAATCACCGTGCCCATTATCCTGCCACTGCCTTGCTGATGGGGTGCCTGCTTCCAGCTGGTTTGTACAGACTGGTAGCTGCTTCACCTTGCCAGCTCCCAGGCAGGTATGTCACCTTGCAGGCACATTGGCCATTGCCACTGCATTACAAGCTACATGGAACAGAGTTCAAGGTACGTCTCATTCCTTCGCTTTTCTACCTCTTCCCCTATCTGGGTTTGTGCTCTAAACTGAGAGGAGAGAGCCTGGTCCTAAGATCCCCCTGCCAAAGCAGGGGACAACTACAGCTGGACTTTTAAAGTGCTCAGCATGGTCCTGTGTCAGACAGCTGATAGTGGTTGATTGTGCAGTTATCTCCCACATGGGCCCTAGATGTGGCTCAGACCAGACAAAATTCCCTGTCCCGCATTTCCAAGCGTTCTTTGTCTGGATCTTAGGTCACTTTGTGACCTAGCTCAATCTTCCCTAAGCGGGACTGAGCTTTTCCTTCCATCAGCTCTAACCAGGTCCTCCTCCAGGACACCTGAGCCATCTTTTTCTCTGAGTAGCAAATGCCCACAGCCTAAGCAGTACCTTTACCCATATATTAAGGATTCCCCAGCACGTTCTCTGCAATCTAAGCCAGCTGCCACAGAAAGATTGAGGTCTGCACTCTTTAGCTGTGGCTTTATCCAAATTCTCTCAGCATTCTCTCAAATGGTTCCTGGGTACAGTTCACAGCCTGGGGCCTAGTTTTAACTGGCAAGGCTTTCGAAACTATGCTGAGTCCCATTCTGACACCACCAAGGATAAGCTCCAGCACTAAGGGATGCTCTCCGGCATTCACCAAATGATGTAAATAGCAAGTGGGAAGGGACCTCTGAAGGTCTTCAGTCCAGGCTGCTGCTGCAAGTCCAGCACTAAGGGATGCTCTCCGGCATTCACCAAATGATGTAAATAGCAAGTGGGAAGGGACCTCTGCAGTCCAGGCTGTTGCTGCAAGTGGCACTATTACCAGCACTAGGTCAGATCAGCTGTGGCTTGGTCCGTTCAAGTATTGGAAACCTGTGAGGACAGAATTCCCCCTCTGAGCATCTGTTTGAATGCTGTCTGATAAACCCAGTCTTAGTGTTCAACCTGAACCTCCCAAGCTGCAATTTGGGACCATTGCCTCCGGTTTTACTGTCTGCCACTACCATCATCTTACCACCCCTTGGTGTAGTTGTAGATGGGAGTAGCTTACCCCTCAGCCTCCTCTTTACCAGACTAAACAATCCAGCTCCCTTAGCCCCTCCTTGTAGGTGACTGACTAGTATCTGTAAAGACACAATGTGGCCATGCTCTGGTCTACCTTCTCCATAACGATGAAGTTTCATTTCTACCCAGTGACACCTAGGGAGGAGCAGTCAGGCACTACACTGTTTACTGAAGCAGCCCTTGTGACTTACTCTCCAGCTCAGGTTGGATAGGATCAAAAAGACAGATGAGGCAGATGACAAAATAACTACTGATTGGGGGGCATGAGGACAACTTTTCCAGATGCCAAAACTTAAGTGCAAAAGGCTGCATGTGAGTTTGTCACAGCTAACTTTCTGTGCTCAGACTTACCTGATGACTACCAACACTCAATCCTCACAGCAAGGAGCCACCGTAATCGGTCACAGGTTCTGTTCAGGAGTCTGAAGGCTGCGGGAAGTGATGAAATCTAAGCTGGAGCCATTCTTGTAAGTCTTTGCAGAGCTGCAAGTGAAGCCAGGAGTACAGCTATACTCAAAGAGAAATTATAGAAAAAACCTTTTGGGACTCAGCATTCAAACAAACACAAGTTTATTTACAAACAAAAGAGAAAACATGGCCATCACATCAAATTCTGGTATATTTACAGCATCCAATTGAGGGGTCAAATAGAAAAGGTATTGTAGGGCAGAGGGTTGGTATTAAGGAAAGTGGAAGTTTCCTGTTGAATTGCAGAGGAGCTGAGCCGAAACAGGCCAAAACCTTTAAAAGCTGAGGCTTCGGGGAACACTGACAGGCTAAACTCTAACTCACAGCAGTGGGCAGAGATGCAGCTCCTGTAAAGAGCTTCCGTAGCTCTTCCTGGAGAAGTCCACTGAAGCTGACACAGCAGAGGTGAGTTTGGGCCCCAGTGCTCCACGGGCAAGAGAAAGAAGGGGCATGATTTTTGCCTGTTAATGAACGATGAAGGGGCAGCAGGAGACTTCGCTGGCCTGCACAGGCAAGGGACAATGAAGGTGAGCTGAGCTGGGAAGCAGTCTGGTTCAGGGCGTTGAAAGGTGGCGCGGAAGAGAAAGGGAAGACCTAGTTCCAGTCCAATAATGAGGAATGCAAGACAGGTCAGCCTGGACATGAGCTTCAGTCCTCCACCCCAGGTTCAAAACCCCCATGGGGCTACCTGCAATGTATGCTTATTTTTTCTTTAGTGAGCCTTTCAGCTTCTTCTCTGAGGAGCGCTGTTTCCGCACCTTCTCCTCCTTTTTCCCCAAGTTCTCATAAACCGTTGACTCCTCTTTCTGCCTGTAAGACCAGGGAAAAACAAGGGAAAAAGTGAGCAAGAGGAAAAAGCCAGCTGAGCCAGCAGGAAGACTATTGCCAGAGGCAGGCGTAGCTGTGCCTCTGGTTTAGGTGAGCTCTTACTTGGAGGATTTTCGTGAAGCCTTGGCATGCACGTTCCTCACTGCAGGGGGGTAGGCAATGTTCCCATACTCGGACTCATTCGGCTTGCCTTTCTGAGACTACAAGAGAGAAAAAACAAGCTGAGAAGAGCATGGCCTGGGAGAAGCATGTGAGGCATCATGGAAGAGTTCCGGCTGTTTAACCATGTGTCATGCTAAGATCTCAGTGGAGGCTGGTGGATTGCTGAAGTCCTCAGGCTCAGTGCACTCTACCCACTGCCATCACAGAGGCGAGCAGCAGGGATGTAAACGCATTCTTGTAGAGGGGTGAACCGTGGGGCAACAAATTTCTGGAGGCGCTGGAATGCCTGAGAGTGCCACGTGTCAGCTAAAGAATACTGAACAGGTAGCAGTAGCTACTGGATGCTGCCAGAGGCTACAAGGAGAGACAAAAGATGCCACTTATCAGCTAGCAGGAGAAAATCCTGCAACTTGCGGAACCAGGATGGGAGAGACAAAGAGGAAAGGAGAGGGCAAAGTCTTTGCCTGTCCTAGATTCAGCTTGTAACACAACAGCACTTGGTGGAGGCGTTATATAGAAAGTAGTTGAAATAATTGCATTAAAACTTACTGCTGTTTAGCAGTTCAGAAAGGGTTGGAACTTGAGCTGCTAATGTTGTCCCCTGAATTTTATGAAGAGGAACAGGGACTCAAATCTTGGTGCACCATTGTAGTCTATGTAGGTCCCAGTGCTAGCTTAAACCTTGGGAAACAGAGCACTGGGGCTCAGAGCCAGCACCATGCAGGG